AGCAACGTCGGCTACGGTGTCATCAAGCGTTCACGCTCAGACCCCTCCGCAGTCCCAAGGTAACTTCAAGAGGCAAGACGGATGCGTCAGGCGAACCCTGCGCGCGTTCCTGCATACGGTACCCGGCCCAACCTTGATCCCTCGTCGTAGCTTTTTGCTCCAGCATTGTGAGCGAGACAATGGATAGGTGTCCAGCTTGTCGGTCTTGCCCGGTGCCGAGTTGCTTTGGGTCTGTTAGAGCTTGGTAAGAACCGCTTCCGGGGGCCGAGCTTTTGTGTCTCGCTTAAATCGAGCCGCGGACGTGTTGGACTGCCCCACATGGCCTCGCTTACACCCACTTGCATCCACTCCAGTCTTCACCAGCCACACACCAAAGAAAAAAAGGTACGGCTTCTATCGGCTAGCGAGACCTGCTTGCTTGTGCTCATTCTCCACTGCATCCTTCCATACACGCAGTGCAATGCTACGACTTGCTCTACACCACTACCATTGCTACCCCACAACCTCTGAAGAGGGATTCGGATCGACGTCGAGCGCTGGTCGGAGTTTTTTCGGCGGCGGCTGTCAAAATTCATTTATTTATCCTCTTTCCGGCACAAACACCCACACACACCTAGAGTACTCCCTCGGACGAAAGTGTGAAAACAACGGCTCTGGGTGGCGGGTGAGCAAAAAAAAAGAGATTATTTTTGGGAGCTCCGCAGACGCGTGCGGAGTCATTTGGTCAACCCACCCACCTACAGCCCCTCCTCACGCTTTGTCGCACAGGCCCGATTGGAGCACAAGCAAGAGCCCCCACCCACGGCCCGAATGCCGAATGCCGAATGGAGAGCGCGAATTCAGGAACACGGCCCTGAACGCAAACTGCATCTGTGAGTCAAAGTGGATGTGTGGGACGTGTGGCGTCGAGAGGGCCAAGACGCGGCACGGCGTGTGGCTGTCCAATTGGGTTGAAGAAAAAGTCTGGAACCTTTTTCGAGCTTAACCCGTGCGAGCGTGTTCGGCGTCGAAGGCGGGAGATTTGGGCCGAGAGGTGGTGGATCTCGAGATGGGCGTTGCTATCGCCGCGGTCACTGCAGCTGCCAAGCGTGGCTGGCGATGCAACACCGGGACGCGTGCGGCCGATGGGCGAGGGGGTCCGGTCGAGGGAGATCCAAGCGGCGTCGTCGTGGCGTGGCGAGGCACAGCTGCAGGCCCGCGTTGCACTCGCTTAGCACGCGCCCAAGCATCCAACGATGAACACCAGCGCCGGGTGGCACCAGTTCTTTTGAGCCAACTGCATGCACGCCCTGGTGCACAATCTACAACCAGCTGCGACCCTCTTCCTGGATCGCTGGCAACGAGGTCCGAGTTCGAACGCGTGGCAATCATTGTCGTCGAGAACCTCCAATGAGATGCACCGCCCCCCCCCCCCCCCCC